ACCATTGGGTAAGGGATCCCTTGTATTTTCTGAATCTAAAGTTTGCTTTTGTTTTGGCTATCATGAGAGTTAGAGTAGAGAGTTTGTGAATGTTAGGCCTTTTTCCATCAAGGAGCCTGAAGTCCACACCAGCTGGTGCTGAGGCCACAGCTTGCCTTTGTTCTTAAGAGAAATTAATCTTCCACTTTAAATTAGTCAAAATGTCATTGTCTTTTTTTGTCTCAAATCCATTCATGCCTTGGAAAAACAATTACAGACTTGGGGTGAAATCCTGACTCCTGACATCAATGAAAAAACATCTATGACTTCATTGAAACCAGGATTTTACCCTTTAAATGCAGTCAGGACAGTAAAGTTCTACTTCCACAGAACTTGAATTAAACTGGAAGTTCAATGATGTCTTGGTATTATATGGTGAATCCTACCAAGGGATGCAAAATCTTGTGTTTTAGGAGGATGAAGTCAAATATCTTCCAAGCTTACAGGGCATCTCACCAAGATCCTCTTGAAAGTGTAGATGCCATTGCAGAATTGTGACTCTAAAACCTTTACAGCTCTCTCTGTCTCTTCTGTATGTGTGCTATAGCTTTATCTATTTACCTTCTTATAACTGTATGTATAATGTACTTGTGAGCATTTGTAATGCTGATAAAGAATTGGGGTAATTGAGAGGAAAATCAGACCTCAGGTCTCCAGAGATGAGGCTGGAAGGTTGGACTCAACTGGTCCAGCTGTCCCTTTCTTCCACTTTGCAAAAGATCTTCTGAAATTCATTTACAGGAAACAGTTTTACACTTCCCTCTTCAGTTCTTTTCCTCCCCACGTCTTCTAGTCTCTGAAGACTATTGACAAGTCAGAGAGCATTTAAATGGAGTTCACCTTAGATAGGATGACCTTTTTAGTTTATCAATATTGAATGTTTCTGCATCAGAGATCCTAGACAAGTGGAAGCTGGAGACAATGTGGTTACAATATGTAAAGGGAAGTACATGCCAATGAAAGTCTTCTATTGATCCAGAAAATGTCATTAGTAGCAATCACAGCTTGAACAGTTCAAAGCAAGTTCCTCCATCTCCATTTAAAGTTAAGCAAACCTCTGCAATACAGATGTATCCTATAGTGTTCTAAACCATCCTGACTGTACATTTTATGCGTGGGTTTAGGCCTGGTTTTAAGCACTGGTTTTTAAGCTAAGCCACCAGCTGTCAGGAGGCTTCAGAATATTAGGGACATTTTGCACCCAGTTGGTTTAATGCTGCATCTCTATCCATATATATCAAAATCCAATTATGCTTTCATCATACTGCTGAAAGTGCAAAGGATTCTAGCAAGCTTTTAAATGGGTGGGTAATTGTGTCAAATCTTGTCATTATGTAGGACAGCTCTGCTTGGGATTTGAGAGTATTTCCTTCTAATTGAAAAATGAAACATAGGACTGGATTGTCCCCTTCATTTCTGATGGTGGAGGGGGTTCAGATCTTGCAGGTCAGTTTCGTGAGGCACAGCAAAGGGGTAGGTGGAAGTCTGCAGAATTGGTCTGTCTTTGGAGCAGGGACAGTATTTAATTTGTGCCAGGGTTTGCCCGGGCTGAGCCTGGGCACCTCTAAGCTTGGCAGTTCATGGCCAGGGCACCTTGGGGCTTGCAGCATCAGTTATGAAAGTAAAAAAATTGCTTGAGCCCAGCACCTAATTGTTGGAGCCCTGGTACCTCTTCCATTTCAAATTAAGTGCTGGGCAGGAACTGTCTTTTTTTGTACTGTATATGTAACAGAACCTAGTTGGATCCAGGTCCATGACTGGGGCTTCTATGTGCTATCACAATATAAATAATAATTCTCTTTCTTTGGGATCTTGTGGAAGCTCCTCCACTGGAGCTGCATGGGATTGTGGGAGTATGAAGGAGTAGAGCAGGTGGCAAGCTGTTCTCCACCGCACTATCTTTCACTATATCTATGGATTTCCAAGTCTGATAAGGAGTTAAATCTGTCTGAAGCACCATTAAGTCTAGTTAATGGTTGACTAGACAGCCGGTGTGCTGTGACCATTACTTATTACTATCATCATAATCCTTTTACAGTTACCTTGTGCTTGTCCTTCTGTTTGTTATATTGACGTGTTGTCTCTTATCTTATGCTTAGATTGCAAGCTTGTTGGGGTAGATGCTACTTGAGTTATGGTATGTACAGCACCTAGCACAATGGGACCCCAACTTCTTATTCGGCCCTCCAGGTGCTAGTGCAATACAAACAATAACAACAATTCCTGTTGAGTTCCCCTCAATGGCTATGCAGCCATTAAGGGGTAGAGGGGAGCCATCCTGCATGCCTTTGCATGTCTAGAGTTATTTCTCGTGGTGGATCTCCAGGATCTACGTGTTTGGGAGATTGTCTCCTCTGCAAATCCATTTCTTTAGAATCTCTCTCATATGGTGGGGAAGGTGTGATTGTTTGAACAACTTCAGTTTCTTGATGCCTGTGACACTTGTCTTCCTAGAACTTTCTCTGTGGGAAGGGATGATCTAACTCAGAAACTGATCTAAGGTTGTTGGATTTTTTTAAGTGGTTGCACTTATGCCAGGAATGTATTTTCATTTATTTACATTTACATTTTTGATCATTCTCTTTTTGAATCACAATATAATATTCTTTCTCCATGTGAATGCACAGGAAGCTAAAGAGTTACTTTATGGCAGCTTTCAGAGTGGCAGACCTGCTGTATTTTTACAAAACAGAAATGCTACGTCAATGCACTTTTGAAGGAGCCCTGTTGTGAGTGTGAAAAAAAGGGCTGAAATAAGATTTTCCACTGTGATACCTCTTCTAAGAAGTTCTTCTTTGTGTAATACTTCATGGCAAAGTTGCTTCTATTTAAAGTTTGGAGTTTGATCTTGGCTTTGATCTGAAGCTTTTGATCTTGAAAGAAGGATGTTGTGGCAATAAAGCAAAAAGGGTAGGACAGACTTTTTTTTTTTTTTTTAAGGAAAGTGATAAAGTTAAAGGGATACTGTCAAGATTTAGTAGGCACTAATTTGACCTGCCTTACTTTACTTACATCTGTTTGCAGAGTCCATCTAATTCTATATGTGGGAGGGTTTGCTAAAACAAATGCTTTGATGCTCCTTTTTCTTTTCAGAAAGCAAAGATTTCTATTTCAAGCTTTCAAGGAATTGTTATACATATCACTAAGTAAAAATAATTTTTAAAAGATTGAAAATACCTTTCCAAGAACTTTTGGTTGAACCAGATGTGATTAATTTACAGATTCGCCCTTTTGTGCATGTTGTATTAACACTGAAAATTATGAAAGCATAAACAAAATCCCAACTTGTGAATTTTCAGTGTTTTCTATGGTCCAAGTTGCTTGATTTTGCCTTTCCTCAGAATTCACATTGGACTTAAAGATACCAGTTCAGCAAAGCATTTAAACATGTGCTTAAGTCCATCCCTATTTAGCAAAGCACCTAAATATGTGGTTAAATTCCATGCGTAATTTAACTATCTGCTTGAGATCTTTGCTGAGGTAGAGATGATTTACTGGATTGGGACCTAAATGAGGAGTTTGCTGTGCTGTGATATGACTAATACTATGGAAGGATTATAAGCAAAAAGGGAACTCAGATCTTGCTTTAAAAATGCACTTCAGAGTCTCCAAGGGAGTCACCTGACATAATTTTGGATTCCTTTGAGGTCAAAGAAAACTATTGAAAAATTATCTTAAATATTTAATAGAGTCCTAATCTGTTCCTCGAAATAAAGCTATTAGAAAGTTTCTTTATCATAAGAACAATATTTGAGAACTTTAATGTTTGACAAAGAAATTATATTTCTAAATATTGAAATTGTGGCCTACGGTGGGCAGAGGAGAAAATACCTGAAAACCTTCCTCCAGAATAGGATAGGAAGCAGTCCAAACAGAAGCACTGTATCTGAGATTCTTCCACCCCCCAAAAACGTTGAGGTAGTTCAGATCTGGCTCCAAATGTTTGGGAAAATTGGTTCTGTCTCTAATGGGCTGAACTACAACACCCATTCTGAGTGCCAGCAGAATGCTGGGATAGTTTGGATCTGGATCCAGAAATCGTGACTCAGTGCTTGTCTTTATAATGAGCTAAACCAGATCACCCAATATCAAAACCCCATATAACTTTAAGGAAGTTTGAATCTGCACCCATATGCATATACGCAGGTCCATCTCTAAGATATATGATCCTTTATCCTGGAGTTTGAATCCAAAAGGTCCTGGAGCTGCTTAGGACACTACAATGAATTTAACCATTTAAATATTTTATGGAGGGAAAGGTTTCCATAGGGAAAAATCAAATTGTGGCGCCACAGTGCTGGACAAATTAAGAGCTGTAATCTCTCCACACCTTTATGTGATGGGTTAACAGCGCACTCCAGTCTCTATACCTTTAAGGCAGGCTCCTCCTCTCCGTCTCAGCTCTCGGAGGCTGGAACACAGGGGGAGGAGGGGCAGGGGCACCCCCTTAGGTGTTTCATTTCCTAAGGAGGTCTCTAGTGCTGCTCTACTGAAAGAGGCAGGCAGGGCTCACGCCCTCAGCCTGGGGATGCATCGCAGAGAAGAGAGGGACAATACAAAATACATAAATACATGCAAAACAGACTGGCCAGTGCTACTCACCAAACCGACAGCAGCCACAGCAAAATAACAAATGCCGGCCGCGTGGGCCGTGGGAAGCAGCAAGCGGGGGGCTGCTGAAGCGAAGTGGGAGCTCAGTGCACATCTCAAATCAAGGTAAACCCACACTCTTAGCCCCACCGCCCCCCCCCTCCCAAATCGAAAAAGGGATAAGACTTTTGTAAGTGACTGGGAGGAAAAAGCCTGTGGTTTTTCTGTGCACAGGGAAATCTGAGAGATCAAAGTTTTGCATCAAATCAGGGAGGCTGTATTTGGAGGGGAGGGAGCAGAAAAAAGTAAAGCCTATTTACAAGGGGCAATCTCGAAAACCTGAATAAACACGCACTTTGTTTCCCTTTTAGCCTTTGCTGGAAGAGTGTCAGACTTGGGACCAGTGTCGATTAGTCCGGCAAGTGAATGATGAGGTGAGGAGAACGCTTTCATTTTGCAGCTCTTAATTATTCGTGTTTACTGTTTTCTCCTCTCACCTCTGTCCTTGCAAAGCTGCCTCCTGCCAGGTTTCCCACCTGATCCCCTCTTCCTGTGTTACTTTTAAAATAATTAATGTTTATAAAAGGAGAATATAAACGTGTTTATAAATATCTAAGGTGTATTATTATTTATTAAATAATAACTACCTGGTCATTTAAAACATGCGTTGCTGTTCAGGAACAACAGTTGAGTAGGTGGCTGAAAATAAATCTGTTGTTTGAACCCAGGTTGTAAGAAATAGAGAATAGAGATTTTCCTTAGGATTTTTGCACACCAATGATAACTTTCCACTTGGCATCAACCATGCTTTCTTTTTGCTAAAAAACTTAAGCTGAACAAAGCTTGTTTAAATGGAGAGCAACAAGGAAAATATGCTGCATAAGATGAAGGGAAAAAAACCCTCTTTGACTATGCACACGTGTCTAACTGGATTACTTAAGAGCATGTCATTCTAGACTGGAAAAGTGTTCTTTTTTTTTTTTCCAATGAAGCAATGGAAAAATATGTCTTCAATCTGTTTATAGTTTCTTACTCATGCTGCGTAGCTGCACTCAGGTCGCATCTTCCTCTTAAAAAAGCACTATGGTTTTGAACTGCAGGTCACAAAATGGATTCAAGTAAACCAGAGAGCCAGAAAAAGGAGCAAAAGGAAACGAAGGCAGGATGAAGTGGCTTTCCAAAAGGTATGGGTTCCTGATGTGCATTTATGTGATGGAATAAAAGGAAGCACATCCTAAACATTTTCAAGGGACACGCTTTAAAACATTCAAAGAACAATATTCTTCTACTATGCTGACTACACAGAAAAGAACCCCATGAATTGATAAAGTTTGAATGTCTGTGTGTTTGCTATGTAGAGAAACTACATTCATATTTAATAAAGAGAGCGAAAGGCATTTTGAGGAAGAAAGATAAGAACACTTTACTTAGAAAATGCTATAGTATTTGAAAGGTTATCGACAGTTACTGTAACATTTATTTGTCAATGAAAAGACATGTTAAACTACAATTAACTGAAAAACATTGTTTTTCTCTCTTGAGAGCAGGTTAACCGAAAATGTAGTGGGTGTCAGTGGGCAATTAGACAAATACAAGATGTACAGAAATAAATGTTATGACTACATTGCTGACACATTTTTTTTAATGTGTGGTTTGAAAGCGTCTTCCATTTGTAGTGGAGAGGGATTCCTGAAAACATGATTGCACTGGCTTGGTGTTTACTCCTAAAAATTCTTTACAAAAGGATGGGTTGTTTTGTTTTTGTTTTGTTAACTTAGTATAGTCTAAATTAATTCCAAAGATTCTTAACCCTGTGATTTTGGGTAAATAATTTTGCTGTAAGGCTACTATAATTTTAAACATTTAATTTACAGTGTAGCAAGATAAGTAACAAGCTGACTTTTCTATTTGATAGCTCTTCTTTGCTGTTTTTTTTAAATTGCTATCTAGAATACAAAGCAATAATGAATAAAAATTCATTTAGAAATGAGTAACCAGAACCAGGAAAAATGGTTTTTTTCTCACTTTGGATTTATTGTCTGTTTTTTGTTTTAATATTATTTTAAAATCCTTGTTAGCTTTCAAGGATTAAAATAGCAGTATGTTATTTTGCTTCTTCTACAATGCTTCTAGAATGTATGATGAATCATTGCTGATTCTGTAGCCAAATTCTTGTTGATAGCATGACTGCCAACTACTGGGATGTGTTGCCTTAGTATGGGCATTGCAGTATTTGACAAATGTCTGCAAAGTACATTATTGTGTGTGGGTGATATACCAGCTTCATGGTGAACTAAAGGATGCAATTTGTTCATTTCAAAATGAATTGGAGAAAAATGAATAAATTAATGTATTTTGTAACTGGGGATTCACTATATAGTAAAGGAATAATGCATGCATTTGTATGGATTAGTCTGTGAACCTATAATTTACAAGATTCTGATCTAAAAGGAAATATCAATAAGTTGTTCTACCAAATATTTAATTTCCTATCATACTGCACATTTACAAGAGAGAGGGGTGGTGTGTGTGTGTGTGTGTGTGTGTGTGTGGAATTTATATTATATAAAATGAAAAAGATTTGCATATTTAGAGTGGTTTTGTGTGTTCCAGGTATGATGGAGGTTTACACGACGCTAGTGACTTTTTATGAGAGTAAAAAGTTATAAAAAGATGTGAAAGTACTACCTTGAGCAAAACCATGTTTTCCAGGTAGAATTAGGCCTGGTCTATGCACAAATTTTACACTGCTATAACAATTTTGATTAGGGTTGTGGGGTGTTTGGTTTTTTTTTTAAACCAAAATAGTAAAACTGATACAAATCCTAGCAGGACACCGATATATCTGTATAAATGAAACTACAGGAATAAGCTTTATCAGTATAAACACATTTATATCACTATAGTTCCATTAACACAAGGGAGCTTATCCTGGTTTAACAATACTTATGTAGTTAAGCAGTACAGCAATTGTGTGTAAACAAGCCCTTATGAATGCAAGAAGTGCTGTATAAAAATCAAGCACCACTCTAAAATAGTAGATGTAAAAATAATCCAAAGAATTGCTAGTTTTGTTTTGTTTTTGAATGGTCATTGTAAGTAAAAGAGAATTGACATTTGAAACAAAAGTAATTGGAAATGTATACACTCTCTTCCTATGGACATAAATATTAGTGATTCCTGGACCATCCCTCCCATGGCCAGCAGAGTTAGCATACTCAGTCCCAAGAGAAGGAAAGAAGTGCTTTTCAGTGACCCTCTGTTTGATGCAAGAACAGCCTCCACAAGGCCTGGAAGGTGGAGTCCCATCTACTTTTCAGCCAGAATGGTAGTGGCTGCAAGGTTGAACATTGAGTTGAGGCTGGGAACTTAAAGAGGACAAAAAGGGATTCTTTGAGACTCTGGTCCCAGCTACACTATGTTAAGGAACTGAGTTTAAACTTGGTTCAAGCTAAAATAGTTTCCCACAAAATTTGGCCAAACTATATTAAAACCGTGTTCTAGACTTTTGGCTGTGTCCATGCTGGCAGGCCAAACCATATTAGAAACAGTTTAAAATGAGTTTAAGTAATATTGCCTACCATGGGTAAAAGTTCAGTATAGAGGGCGGGAGCCTTGAAGAAAGAGAGGAGTGTAATGAGCCTGGAATGGAGGAGGGAAATGAGGAGAAGGGCTCTGAATACTGGCTGGTTATGTATGTGTCACATGTGTAGTTAAAACAGTTACTGAATGTATTTCACCAGAGCTTGAAAATGAAGTACATGTTGATCTTGCATATCTGTCCGAGCATACAACTAAACTTTTTATTGTAACTTCTAAACTTTTAATTCTATGCTGTCTGACTGTCCCCTGCCCGTCACTTTCATTTCTTATAATTGTAATAGGATAATCACATTTCCTCTACTGGATGAGTAGCTTTATCGTTACCAACCCATATATGACACCACAAAATCAAAGCAGCTGCTCGTTCTTATGGTCTTTGTAGAATAAGGGAAAAAGAAAAGTTGTGGAGTTGTTGAAAACTGGCAGTGAGTTGCAGTAATTAGGCACCAAGCTGCATTTTAAAGAGCTACGTTTTCAGGCACTGGCTATAAATATTTTTAAATGAATGTTTGAAGATAACAAATGCTGAATATGGGCTGTAGAAACTAGTAGTGCTAACTGCAATTAAGTGGACTGCAAAACAGTGGGGAAGCTCGTCTAGAACTGTGGTGCTGCTCTCCACAGTGGAGCAGCTCACAATGGATCAAGGCAACATAATGAGTTACCCTAGGTGAGAGCCAGCTCCCAGAGTAATAATTAAAAGTTCTCTCTTTCCCCCCTCCCACCCCACCTTCTTGTACTATCTTAGGGTATGTCTACACTGGAAACTTCAAAGTGCTGCCGCAGGAATGCTCCCACAGCAGCGCTTTGAAGTGCGAGTGTGGTCGCGCGTGAGCGCTGGGGGGAGAGCTCTCCCAGCGCTCCTAGTAATCCACCTTCACGAAGGGATTATCTCTGAGCGCTGGGAGCACGGCTGCCAGCGCTCGGAGCCTGTCTACACTAGCACTTTAAAGCGTTCAGACGTGCTGCGCTCATGGGGGTGTGTGTGTGATTTTTCACACCCCTGACCCAGCAAGTTAGGGCGCTATAAAATGTAAGCAAAGACAAGCCCTTAATGTTACATTTCATTCGTTTTCCTCATGCACTTCTTGCAGCCTTTTTGTTTCCCTCTTGTTCTTGCTCTTCTCTTTGCTCAGAGACCCTTTTGTCTAATGTTTTACCATTTGTGCAATATTTTCACCTCCTCTAGTTCTTTTTTTATCCTCTTTATATCTTTCCTCTCATCTTTTTCTCTTCTTCCTTTTCAGTGTCCTGTGCCACTTTTTATATTTTTCCCATTTACTTTTGGTCCCCTTTTTATGTCTCGTCTTGAGTTCTTTGCCTTTCCTCCCCTTTTTTCCCCTATCAATGCTAGTCCTTTGCCACTCCCCTTTGTGATGTCCTCCTCCTTCCCTTTCAGTTTCCTCCTCCTACCTGTTCTGACACCCCTCCCCCCTTCTCTCATTAGATCTGACTATTTTGCTGTCTCTTATTCTAATCTGCAATGGAGCAGATCCAGCAGATTAGTACAGGCATGTGCACAGCAGAGCAATATTTTCATGGGAAAGTGGTGGGATGAAAAAAGGAGAGTGAGACAGGACTCCAAAAAAAAAAGTTGATAATTAGTTAATATTGTAATGTGCTTTGAACGTGAAAAGTCTGATGGAAGTGATAAATATTATTATTTTGGGCTGTGCCTATTTAGAGAAGTCCATTACTCTTGCCAATTCTAAGTACTACACAGAAGAAAACAGCATTGTAGTCAGACTAGTAGTGTCATCATATGCATGTGATCTGCATTTACAGGGGAGTTGAAAGGGAAAAATACTCTTTATTAGTAGGCTAGTTAAATTCTGCATGTGCATTGCCCCTAAATTTCAGCATCAGTGGTGCCACTGATATCTGGAGTTCAATATTGAAAATGAAGTATGTAAACTCCTTTTGGAAAGCAGTGAACATCTTATGAGTAGTAGAATCAGTGCACTAAAATGGAGTAAATAAGCAATGATTTTTGAAGGGCACTGAAATAAAAATATATACATTTACAATATATAAAGGAGGCTTAATTATCCCAATTGTCTAAGTTGAGTTTCCCTTGTTTTTTCATAGTGTTTTTAGTTTTCTTCTGTTGAGAGTGAGGGATAAGTCAACTTTTGCAAAATAATTTCAGCTGTTTTCTGATAAATCCTTGTTTTCATCTGTGTAAAGCAATTCCTGCTGGTTACTAAATACATTACGGTCTTTTATTTTTTTGTTATTTTTATTTTATTAATCTTTCATTCTCTTTTTGCTCTAGTAATGATCAGCAACATTCCAAACCCTGATGATAATCTGAGCAAAACTGACTATGTTGAAACAGTTGGTTACATTTCTAATAAATGCAAAACCGGAATATGTGCTGATGGTGATAACCGCTGTAGCTTTCTCATCCTTTACTCAATTTTGCATTTGTTGTTAATGGCTGAAAGAGAAGAAATGAGTCCCTTAACTGTTTTAATATATGAGTTGTGGTTTTAAGTTTTTAAGTACAAAAGGGTTACAAAACCTCACAAATAAAACAAAAATGTGTTGAAAGAGTCACAATATCACTAAAGCATTTACT